CCAACACGCTCCGTGCTCACCCGCAAAAATAAAATAAAATCAATCAAGCACTCTGTGCTGATACAGAACGACTCCTTGTTTTTTAGTTGGAAATTGTTTCATTTTTATTCAAATCACTGCAGACACCGAAGCTACCACAGAATCAATACACTCTGGTGGCACCGGGAATCAAGTCTTACAAAGTTTCTTGATGCAACCTTCTCTAGCTAAATTGTGTGTTGCGCCATTCGCAGCGCGACACACGTAACCCACCTTAAACTCGTCGAGAGTGAAGTAGAGTTTTGATGTCCTGAACCACATGCCCGTATGCCTACTGATCCTTATTGTGATCAGTTGATTCGCGCATCACCGTCCGAGCAGGTATCTCAAGATATGTCTCCTCACATTGATCTCCATGGCCAGCTTGATAGCAGGTCAACAGGTGAGCAGTTCGGCAAGCTCCGGATTGGCAACCAAAGAGAAAAAATGGCAATGCTCTTTGTGGTCCGTGAGAATTGTGCCTCCGCCACCAAAATCCAACGTTTTAGGCATGGCTCCATCACAATTTGCTTTCACCCAGCCAAGAGCAGGCCGCTCCCAACGCTGTGTTGAAGAGCTCGGCAGCGCACCCGCCGGTTGTTTCTTGATGCTTTTTCACTCCTCAGTCACCCTCATTATTCTCTCTCCAATACTCCTCTGGTCCTTTTTATTTTACTTGGAAATTGTTTCATTTCACATACTCCCAGCGATCCACAATTCATAGAGCCCCTTGAGCACCACAGTTCTCTCATCGGCATGCGCCTATGTGAACCACTGGAGCAACCACCCTCGAATGATGCAATGCGGATCCACGTCCGCATGAAGCTCCACCAGCGGTGTAGAAACATTCTACTTTAACTCCTTCCAAAATACGTACTCCCTTCGTCCCATAATATAAGAGTGTTTTTAATTGAAAATGTGAATAGCCCCAAACGTGTGCATAATCAAGTCTTCCCGTCCATATGCTGAAAAAACACTCCCTATTTAATCATTGTGTGCAGCAGTTCTGATCCTACAACTATCCCTTACGGATCGGCTTAGCTGTGAAACACCACCATTGTGGCAATCACGTACAGACTTACAAGATCC